CACGTTCCCCGCCCCTGCCGAGACTAGCCGGTCCTTCAATTAGGATCAACTCGCAACCGCGGTGAAGCATCCAAAGTCGTGCATCACGACATTGCATCAACAGTACTCCGATCGCTCGCAAGCAAGAAGCTCAACCCTTCGAGCAGCGCAGGATACGGGGTTCGAGCTCAATCATGCAGCCAACGATCAGGCCATGCTCTACAAGAGGATCTATCCATGGAGGGCCAGACGACTGATCACGATCACCATCGTGCAAATCTCCGCTAAAAACTCTCGTCCCAACAACGATTCACTGCGCGGTATTACATTCCCTCCGCAACACAAGAGCGATCCACCCCACCGAGGTCCAGTCGCGCACCTTGATTCAGCAACCGCTGCACGGTCTCGTTCGGGTCCATGTTGCACTCTTTGAGCATGGCATAGATCTCATCTTCGCTGTTGCCGACCACCTCCTTGAGGTCCTGCACCACTTTCTTGGTGCTGGCCGGGACCTGGACGGCACCGCCGCCGCTGCCCTTCCCGCTACTCATCTTGGTGGACAGTGCAGCAGCAGCGCCCCGCCTGCACCTCGCCTCTGCGACAGCCTCCCCCTGTGCCGACGCTCCTCACAAACGTCCCAGAATGGGTCCGATGATCGAACCCAAAGACCTCAGGACTTCGAATACCCACAGTGAACTAGCGCAAGGTAAGATGGGGCGGAGTTGGGGGGCTGGTCAAGACAAGGGGGACAGTAAGACTCTGCGACAACATGGAAACAACGGAAAAAAAAAACAAAACAAAACAAAACAAAAAAAACAAAAAACAAAAAAAACAAAAAACAAAAAAAACAGAATAAACACCGACGCAGCTGCGATACGAGCTGAATGCAATCAATCAGTCGGAGATGGCCTCGCGGGCCGGGAGACGTGGGCTCCCAACCCTAATTCATGGCTCATGCCCACCCGTTCACACCGCCACATCAGGTCTCTCGCAAACGCAGTCCCGACGCGGTGAGTTCTCATTCGGCGCCTCCACTCCGATCCTCACGTCGCAATTTGGGTGTTGTGTGTGAGAATCCGGGCACTCTGCGATTCCTCGCCCATTTCCAGACAAGCCCATCATTCATACTATATCATACTTGGATAGAGAGAGCACTATAAACTCGTTTCTGTTATTAAAGGGGGAGTTGCGTCAGGGGATTCAATCTCAACGAACAATCACGGCGTCGTTATTGGCAGCCATCCATCCAATCAGGGCGTCGTTGTTGGCAGCCATCCATCCAATCAGGGCGTCGTTGTTGGCAGCCATTAAATGGGTGGGGTAGGGATTCACTAAAACTAGAAAAAGATGGAGTTGTGTCTTTCAAGTAATTTAGGGGAATGTTAAATAGACCCAATCTTTTACTAAATTGACCCACTTGTTCTAACCATCATGAAAGAAAAAGAAAAAAAAAAAAATGACCTCTAAATTCAATTCTCCACATTCATCATAATTACCATATTCTCTATCATAGATAGGTCAATTTAATAAAAATCTGGGTCAATTTAACATTCTCCATAATTTATAGAATATTTATTTTTGACGTAGCCATTGATTTGCATTGTGGAGCAATTGGGCTCTCACAAAGACTACATTGTTGTTATTGTTGTTTACGGAGGTATGGAATTTCCAAGAAGGGGCTTCACCAGAAGTTAATTACATTGTAAGAAGATTATGTCATGCAGACATTCAAATTTATTTTATTGTTCTTTTCCCCCCCAATTCATGTTTTTGTCTTTGACTTCCCCTCTGTTTCTCGCCCCCTGATTTCATTCTTTGATTGCTGGATGTTATCATTTAATTAGACATGAGGGCATTACATTTATTTTCTAAGTATTTATTCAAACCATGTGATAAAAGCTGAAATTGATGCACGTTGGTAAAATTACTTTATACTATAAGCTACATTAATAACTTGTCCTTAATAATAGCTGGAAATACAATAAATCTGAAAACAACTTGATTCAATCCTCAATAGTCAACACATATATTATCAATCATGTTGTTTTGAGAACATAGAAAGTATTATCAGATGCAACTTGTGAATAATTAATTATTGCATGCATGTGTAAGTATATATACAAACAAACTTATGAACATAGATAAGCAAATACATGTGTATGTTTTGAAAATACACCATCCAATTTGAATTTGTTTACAACATCATATGACAAATCTAGCACAAAATAAAATGAAATAAAATAAAAAATGGCATTGTGCAAAAAATTCAAAACTTATTATTTTAATATTATGTGAAAGATCATGAGTTTTTAAAATTTTAAATTTTCCCATCCAATAAATGGTTGTGAAGTAATTTTTCATTACTTTTAAAATCCAGTCATGAAGTTCCACAAGTTTGTTTAAACCTTTACACTTTTCACACCTAGGCAACTGGTAGCTGAAGCTTACAATCATGCAAATCGAAAATTGATAATTTTGTATCGTTTGTTTTGTTCATCATATCAATTAATTTTTTTGAAGCGACATTCAATTGTAGTACTTACAAATATGGATTTACACTAAATAGTACGATGATACCATGGCAGTAATGAAGAAGTTAAAAATACACACATAAACACTAACTTCATCAACACCAAGTTTGTAAATTGTCTCTTCATGCTTGTTAAAAGTCTTTTTACTTAAGGTAACAAACGGGTCGGGTGTAAGGTTGTAAAAAAAACATGTAGCTTGAAAATGAAGTTCACATATCATTTATTGCCACAAGTTATATCTGAAGAAAATTTTATTTATTCTTCTGCACAAGTTAATATTGAAATCGTTTCAGAACCATAATGTGAAAAGCATACCCATCAATATCTGTAAAAATCTTAAAGTGTTAATGTACAGCAACCGTAAGATCTAATGCTGGATGAAAAATATTACACTAGATTTTTTTTTTTTTTTTTTTTTTTTTTCTTTAAATCATGTCGCTCAATAATTGAGTAACTCCTACACAAATAGCATCACCGACTTGCATCACCGACTCCCAGAAATTATTTCTGCACCATTTCAGTCAAGTTGAGGATAGTCGCATACCATGCAAGAAAAGATTCCCCTAGTTTCAATGCTATCTCATCCTCCATACAAAAACTTTTGTCATAACCAGTCCTTCCTACACGACAGGACCCACGCAAACATCCTTTTCTTCCCCGCGGATCACTCTCAAGACCAATAAAACAATGTCCAACTTCATCCTCCATTCCCACCCTCATTTCATGACTCACGTCACAATCCCACGTATCATCCGCCACAATCGCTGTACCGAACACCCCTACTTCACAACACCTGCAATCCATTCTCACATTCCAGACCAACACCTGGCGACACCGACCATTGCACGAACTCCAGTTGTCACTCCCCATCAAATCGATTACCATGTCCAACCCGACATGTAAAATGATGTACTGAAACCTTCCTTCCAAACCATGATTTATACACGACATATGTCACCACTGTTCAGTTCATCACCCGCCTAATCCAATCTAATCCTGTTTATGTAACTCGCAGCCTACGACTTGTGCAACTTATGCTCTTCTCGCACTCCAGATTACAACTCGTGGTCCAACTTCCCACTCCCTCGACCCTTCACGTCCCCTCGCAACCCACCGCCAACACAGTCCGTCCACTTCCCATCGCATCTACGTCCTTCCTCCCTGGCCAAATCAACTCGTCGCTGGGTCATCAATCATCACTCCTCTTCAAGCACAGCTCCTCCCGGACGCCCTGAAGCATTCATGATTCCCAACCTCAAGCCATGCTCTCCCACTCCCATTTCCCTGCTCAATTCAACCCCACGCTCACCCCTCCTGCTATGCCCGCCTCACAACAGAACGTGCAGCTGTTGACCTGCGCCTCTCCCGATCTGCGTCAGTGCGGTTTGCAATGCCATTTGGACTTGCTCCGCTAAAACTCGAAGACGTCCTCGACCCTCTCCGGGCGCCGCCTGAACCGCACGCATTACCCCCTCTTTGCACCTCTCCCATTCCTCCGCCCGGGCCCAGCAAGATCGGCCCCCATGGCTTCCGTCCATACTCGACAACGAGATCCGATTCGCCCCTTCCCCGTACGCGTACGCTAACCGCAAAGCCACTGACTGCGGCAACCACCCTGCTCCGCCCGCCACGTTCAACTGTGGTAGCGACGAGGCGTCAAATGTGAACGTCAGCGTGAACTCCACCGTGTTCCGATGGTGGTTGTGCGTGATGCTGCTTCTACCCTGCGACCCACCACCCACGCCCGACTCATCTTGCTGTGAATTGCCCTTTTCTACTCCTCCTCCACCACCGCCTTGTGATTCCAGGCTAAGCTCCACTTGTGGACGAGGGGACGCCCCTTGACCACTCACATCCCCGCCAGGCCCTCCATTTGCCTGCACACAATGACCACCAAAAATCCATGACAACTCGTAAATCACCATTTCCACTCGCTCCACAAACCGCGACTTCGCCACGCGGCTTTCGACCACGTCATGACCGACCAACCATCAAACCACCACTACTCGACCGGCACGATTCACACCAACACCTCTCCACACATTCCTATCACCAACATACAAGTACAGTCAAGGAACCGTACTCTGGTCGTCGCAACCTTCCACTGAATCAGGATTAGGAACTCCCGCAGCACGGGTACCGGTAGCGTCAACATCGTCACAAACGACGCTAACCGAGACGCATCGTATGGCTCTGACGCCACACTCCGCGCAAAAAAGTCCCCTATGTCTTGCATTTCTCCCAGTGACAGCTCCACTGCCAAGTTCATCACAGGTGCCGCTTGCTGGTGCGCCGCGGCTGCTTGCTGTTGTTGTTTGTAACGGTTCACATTGATGGCCTGCAAAAACAGCTGCTGCCGATGCATGCTCACAGCGAAAACGCACCCCCTACATCCAACACATTTTTCCATCAACGATAACGCTTGCACGCATTCCTCTCAAACTCGCCTTCGCCACGACAACCCCACATCCTTGTCCACCACCGCGTTCCACCAACATCACAACCTCCCGGCCCTCTCACATCCACTCCACACTGCTCCTATGTTTCCAATCACCAAACTCAATTACTGCTGCATACGACAACGTCAATGCACCTTTCCGCCTACTTTTTCACACAATCCCCCGACTTCCCCCATCTACACCCTCCCCGACACTCCTGCTCCGTCCTCGTGCACTCCTCTCATCTCCACAACACAAAATGACGCACCCCGCCCTACCTGATGAAGAACCTCAAAGCCGGTTGCTCTGGATCGTGATTCAGCAGCGCACCCTCGTTCTGGTTCAGCGTCGATGCCAGCACCTCCCTCAGGATGCCTGGGAACTGTGCGAACAACCACAGTCCGCCTAGGTACCGCAGCGTTCCTCGCAGTACCTTCTTCAGGGCTGCCAGTGGTACCCATGCACCTCCATAACCGCCATCGTCGCCCATCCCGACCAGGGCTGGATTCAACTCCGCGCGAATCGATATCGCACCTCCCACCCCTGACCCCGTCGCTAAGCTTCTGCTGCCTCCGCCCAACCCCGAGCCCCCCTGCATCGCCGCGATCGTGCTCCCCACGCTGTTCCCTGCACGCCCCACTCCACCTCCCGCCTGCCGAGCCCCGCTGTTCGCCCCAGTGCTGGGAGAGCTCGACCCTATCGCCCCTCCCCCAACGCTGTCTACGCTGCTGCTCATCCCCAACGTCACGTGCTCCACCACGAACGTCCGAAACTGCGGGCACGGCAACGACCCCCCGCCCCCCTTGCCTCCGCTCCGAGGAGGCGGCGCCGGCTGCAGCCACACCTGGTCACCGGCGAAGCACCGCATGTCGATTGCAAAATCTCGCCGGTACACGATCCGTATCCAGTACGCCGACCGCAGCAGCACCGACACGTCCGTCGGCAATAGCGTGCTCGGAACCAAACCCGGCCCAGGATTTCTCCCGCTGTTCGAAGGCATCCCTCCCTGAGGAGTCCCCGGACCTCCGTTGCTGTTCATCCCGTAGTTCACGCTCCCATTCGCGCCCGCCCCTTGCCCCTGCCCCTGCCCTGCACCGCCGCTACCGTACAAACTCATCCCAGACCCCGCTGAGCTGGCCCCGGCCCTCGCCGCCATGCCTGTGCCTGGGCTCGGTGAGGAAGGCCGATGACTTGACCCGGAAGCTGGCGCAGCCATCCTCGCGGGCCGAATCGCTGCAGCCAGTGCGTGCAAAGGCCCTGCTGTCACCTGGATAGCATCCAACAAAAGCTCTACCTCTCCACCATTGATGTAATCCTCCAAAAACTGCACACGTCCAACCACGCGTTATGCTTTGCTGTGCCCCACAATCCCCCGCATCAACAACCAAATCTTCCTTGGGCCCCAAACAGCAAATGTCCAAACCCAGCATCGGAAAATCACAACAGCAGCAAGGGACTTTCAAAGGGAATGAGGGCCAGTTATATCAACTGGTAGGGGAGTAACCATCCTCATCTGCCTATGTGCACTCCACAACTTTCTTCCAGCTAGAGAAAACCCTTTCGTCCGTAACTGCATCAAAGTATGATGCGAATAAACTACCATAATTTCCAATGAATCCAAGCCATCAATGAAATCACTGCCATCAACATTGTATCTTGCCTCGCTCTACCAGCACGCACTTTCACATTCTGCGCTTCACTGCACCTCGCCTACTTTGCTACCAACCTCCAATCGCAAATTCCAGCTCAGGTCGTACCTTCGTGTGTGGCCACAGCTGCTCGGGTGAGTGCACGGTGCAACCCCGACGGCTCGTTCCCCACTCCACAACAAACCGGGCCATGATGCCTGGCGTCGTACCTACGTACGTGAATGACACGCTCGTCAGCCCTACCGCCTCCACCCTGAACGCCCGCCGCATTACCTCCCACTTCTTCTCCTCCGCTTCACCTGTGTCTCCCACGCTCCCACTCCTGCCCTGAGACCTGCCCCCCTGCTCGCTCCCTCGCTTCTTCTCCTCTTCACTGCTTCCCAACAGCTTCCGAATCCTTAAAGCAAACGCCCGCGCCCGCCATATCCGTTCCAGATCCTTCACCAGTTTTGTCACGCTGTCGTCTAGCACCGTCGAGTACTTCAGAACCAACCCCTCCTGCGTGCACTTCATGTGAGAATCATCCTGCGGCGGACTCGCAAACTGTTCTCCCGTCCCACCCACCCCTTCTTTTTGCTTCTGCAGTTTCCACAGCCCGCTGAAATACGCGTCCTGAACCTTCACGTCCCATCCTTCGCTCCCGGGCTTGCCTAGGCACAAGCCCATCTGCTGCCACCCATACGAACCCTCACTTCTGCTCGGTCTCGTCCTTGGATCTCCGCTCGGCACGGTGTCTGGAAGCCTGAACCGCAGAACCGTCGACGGCTCCCGCAGCCCAACCTCGTTCACGTACGATATCCCTTGCGCATCCATCTGCCGAGTCAACCGGGCATGCTTTATACACAACCTACACCGCTCTTCCACTTGCTGGAAAACCGCCCGGTAAGCACCCGCAGAAGCCTTCCCCTGGTTGGCTGCTCGAACAACGTGCCCATAAGACTGGCCCAAAACCGACTGAGACACAGCCGTGCTGCCAACACCCACATGAGACGCTGCCTGGTACGCTGGAACTGGGACCATCTCAAGCCCCGTCCTCTGCCGTTTCCCTCTCTGCCCGCCCGTTGCCAACGCCTGTACCGACGACATCGAGTTAAACAGATCTGTGATCGACCGCTTCTGTTTGCTTTTCTGCGCTGGTGACTTGTCGGACCCACCTGCAATCACCGCGGTGGACGATGCATCTGTGAGACCTCTCACCACTTCCTCCAACCACACTTGCAACATACACCCCAATCAAACATCCGCACCGCCATCACTCCATGCACACCCACGACACACGACCTCGCCTATCTCGCATTCCCGCTATATCAACCACAATCCCTCCCAACACAATCCGAACCCGATCTCATACTCTGCTCAATATCCACTTCACTCTGATTCCCCTCAACCATCTCGACATTGCCTCATGCGCGACAACCCCTACCCCTCCTTCTCTTCACCCGCTGTCGAAACCCAACAAATCAAACGCGGCGCACATTACCCATGACCAACCCACCACACACATCACACTCTCCTCGCTCTCTCCTCTGCACATCCTGCTCTGCTTCCCTCCATCCAACAATCCCAATCCAACGCATCACAACACGCCCCTCCAAAACCTACCCAACTCTCGCAATGCACAGTACCTCCTAGCCTTCCTTGCTGCTCAACATCCTGGCCCGGACACCCCGAATCTGTCATGTACGGACCCGACGGAGACATCGTCGACTTCCATCCAGGCGAACTCGCCTGTAACAGTCCCGATGCTCGCACAAGCTGTGAACCAGATGGAGACCCCGCTTTCCCGATCAAAGGTCTAGAGGTCGGAGATCCTATTCCACCCCTTGCTTGAGGAACGTGCCTGCCCTGCCGCGACGGCGAGTCCGTCGTTGCAAACGAACCGGAGGTCTTCGAAGATATCGAGTCGATCAACTTCGTGATGTGCTCGTCGTCCAACTCGATAGGCGACGTCGCATTATCCCCCACCGCTACAGGCGATCTCGTACTCCCTGGCTCCTGCTCGCTCGCACTCTGCAGAGGCGACTTTCGAAGCGACATCTGGTTCCGGACGTCCATCGGACTCCGCAGCGGGCTCACCCCTGTCATGTTGTGGGGTGACGCACCGTTCACCATCCCTGCTCGACCCAGCCTGTGGCTCCCATCTCCAAAAGCAGGACTTCCTCCCAACGACTTCCCCTGGTGATACCCGCCGCTCGCCATCGAAGGGCTCACCATGATCGGCCCCGCGTTCACGCCGTATCCAACATTCCCGTGTTGCAACGGAGAACCTGCATGCTGCATTGGCGACCCCCCCTGCAGGTTCGACGGAGAATGCACCGCCAACATGTTCCCCTTGTGACTCGCTCCGCCCCCTCCGTAGTACTGATCCAACCCTGACTGTCCGCCATCCAGTCCCAATCCACCCCCTCTGATCGGACCTTTCGGCACAGGAGGGATGCCCAACTTACTGTATCCTTCCTCCACTCTCTTCACCACCATGCTGCCATAACCCTCCCTGCCCTCGCTCCCGCTCTGCTCCAGCAGGCTAAACCCAGTATCGTCGCGCAGGATTGACATCGCTTCGATGTCGATTCTCATCCACCGACTAATGTTGAACGCGCTCGATGCCAGGCTTGCTTGTCCCGACGATGACTGCGACTCAGCTTCTAGCAGGGTGAACAGAGGCGTAAAGTTCGCGTCCAGTTGCACACACAGAAAAAATGACTCGTCACAATCCGGAAACCCCATTATCAGCACGTCGCCTCCGTGGGCACTTTCAAGTTTTGGCCCCTCCTTGGTCATTTTCACAGATGACGCACCTCTCTCATACAGCAGTCGGCACAACCCACCATCCGCGGGCAGTTTCACAGATGATGCACCTCTCTCATACAGCTGCCAACACCACCAACCATCAGATCACGACAATCAACCTTTCCTGTACCCTCCACCAATCCACTCCACCCAATCATCTGCGTCACCAACTAACACAACACTCCTCTATCACGTATGCACAACCCCGACCCCGCATGTCTTCCACGGACTGCACCGTATCACCGCTCTTCCCTCCGACTCACGCACACCCCAAACCTCTTCCCTCAACATCATCTCTCGCCTTCGCTACTCTCCTTCAGATGCCAACCACTCACCTTTAGGTTCAACGACTTCCCTATCAGCCCAAAGTAGTGCACCAGACATTTCGCGCGCAACTTCATGAAGATATCCAGAGCCTGCACACTCCCCAGGTTCAGCGCATCTTCCATTTCCTTCACCATCGGTGCGGCAAGCACCGTGCTTGGACAGCGCAGCAAGAACCGCCCATTCCTGTCAAATTCATCGCCACTCCGTCAGCAGACCGTGCACGTTCCACCATCTACTCCGACCCACCGTTTACTCCTGTTAGCTTTCAAGATTCCCCTACATCTGGCCTAGTTTGTAGCATGCTATGTTACCTCAGCTTGTGTGACTGCCATCAGTCCCACAAAATTCGCCAAACTTCACAAACACCCTCACCATGTCACACAATCTCTCCCCCCCCCCCCCCCCCCACAACGTCACGTCCCGCTCAGACTGCACTCACCATGACCCTCCCATTTCATCGTCTCCACAATGTCTCAAACGTGCCACTACACTGACGCCTACAACCAATTTTCCATGCAACCTCCATTTGCTACCGTACGCAGCCACAACCCCGTTCCGTGCACTAACAAACCACGACATCCTTACTGCGTTCCATATTACTGGTTCTGTACTGGATCGCACCCCGCCATCACAACCACACACCCCGACCGGACCTCCAAACCACGACCAAACTGCATCGGCCAATACCTGATGCTGATTCCCAGCGCCATGTGCGACACCCCGAACGCACGAACGCACAGAACTTCCTCCCCAGCCTCCTCCACGTTTTCCTCTTCACCACTCGCCTGCAAATACATCCCAAACTACACCATCATTCACAACCACGTACCGCACCAACCACTCTTCCGCCTTTCCGGGTGTCCACCACGAGTGAACATCCACAACCAGGCTTTCGCCATCGTAACAACGCTACGGCGTCTGCCCAAGCACGTCCCCCCTCACCAAATGACACTCCACGCTGCAAACTCCCTTAAACCGTGTCCTGTTCAGCTCTAACCGACAACCTGGTCGGGACGACCAAACTCGTGGACAACCCACTCAACCACTCCACAACCTGCACTTTCCCCTTCATAGATCCACACTGACCACATGTCCAAACCACAAAACCCCTCACCAACTACTCTTCCTGCAACTCAACCACACCTCGCTCGAGCTTTCCAGTTCGTCCGGTATCGAACGCCTCAAAACCACGTCGTTGTCGGATTGCCACAAATGCACGCCCCCTTTCAGACCTCGCTGAACCTCCAGCAGTCGTGTGTGTACGCTGCACGCGATAGCCCGCAGCAGCAGCTTCTCCACATTGATGCAGCTCGAATCCACCGCAAACTCCGCCTCCATGCCCGTCGCGGAGTCCATCACGGCCGGCGAATGTGAGCACCTTATCTGCTGATCTGCACCGTGCTCGATTCTCAGGCTCGGAAGGACCTCCCCCCTCTGTGTTTCCAACCAATACATGATCTTCAGACCTGGAGACCCTCTGACTTTTGCTGCACTTCCCGACTCCACGTCCAACTCTCCAACACCACCCGTCCCTTGTCCTGCACTTGCCTGCCCCGCAGCTGCGCCACTCCCACCACCCGTATCCGACAACTTCTCGTACTTGATTGCGTCTCGCCATCTGCCAACCAACAACGCTTTGATCTGCCGGAACAGGGTGTCCATCACCAGAGCAGTGCAAAACTGGTGCAGGATGGAATACATCAGCCCTAGCGGGTCCTCAGACGCAGCCATGCGTCGCTCCAACTCATCGCCCAGGAAGTACGCTTGAGGATCCGTGAACTGTGTCGGCCCCGACGGCTCCCCCACCAGAATGTCTATCTTCAGAACCCTCCAGTACGATAGGTGACCACGATATCCCAGCGTCAGGTGAGCTTCGAACTCGCCCGCCACCTTGAATATCACCCGCCCACCCGTCACCTTGATGTCCGTGATCTGTTTTGGCAGTTCGATGTCCAGCAGCCGGGTCCGAAGAACACTGTTCAGTTTCTTCACGGCGCCCTCTCTCTCCTCTCCGATCAGCACAGGTTGCATTCCCAAATCCTCTATGCATTTCGGCAGCCTGTTGTACGTTCTAGCCAGCAAAATCTCCGTTGCAGAAGGTATGTCATACACCGGCGCACGCGCTTGCTGCAATGTTTCATGCAAATAGAACAGAAAGTCCGCTGCTTGGGTGAAGCTCATGTCGTGGTTGGACAGCGTACCAGACAGCTGCTGACACCGCTCCACCAAAGGAATCTGCACAACATCACAAACCCAACCCGTTATTACTACCCACGCGATAACACAACGCCCCCCGCCATCCAGTCCAAAAAATTATCCACTACATCCACAATTCTTCCACCACGCCTCACGGAGAGTTCTTCCACCATCGTCCATACCATTCCGCATACTCACACCCACACTGCCCGCTCACTGCTTCCCAGCCGCTACAAACATCCCCTGACTCAACGACGCAGACAACAAACTGGAGGATTAGCGGACCAGGCGCTTCACACTGCCACGCCCGACTTGCTGTCAGCACATTGGCGACATCATCCATGGGATACAATCCAGTGCATGAGTTCTCCATAATTGTCATGTCCCGCCATCTTGCACAGCACAGTGCCGCTCGCATCTGTGCACGAATCCGGTCATCTTACAGCGGCCATGATTGCCGGCTTTCATGACCTATCACGAAACATACCCTCACGAGTTCATGCACACCGCATGCCTCGCTGCTTCTTACTTGGACAATCAAAACGCGAAACGTGCAGGAGGCTCCTCGACCATTTCCCAATGCTCACCACCGATTCCCAAAGACCTGGACCAACGTGATAGTACGCAGGAATTGCAGGTGCCATGCATTTACCTGGCGACACCATTTCGTAAGAGCCGCAATGCGCAGCAGGCGCTGTCGCGTTTTGACGATGTACTTCAGGAGCCCGATCTTCTTCTCCGTGTCGGACAGCTCGGGAGCAGTCTCAGTCAGCTCCTTCAGCCCGGAAACGGATGCTTCTGCGGCTTTTCGCACCAGCACGGAGAAGTCCACAGACCCCAGGGGCGCTGCCTCCGCCATGGCACTTCCCTTTTTCTTCCCTGTTCACGAGTATCCACCTCCTCCAACCCTAAATCCACACCATTTCTCCCCGCCCTTTCCAATCCGTCCCACGCAACCCCAAAACCAGCGCTCTCAATTCCGGCTGCACCACGCACCCCGACCGCCTCTGCACTTCAAAAAAACCTTCCAATCGCCAAGATCCAGCATCTAGGCCCTTTCCCACCCCTCCCTACCTACTGCTCGCCACAAACCATATGTACCAAAACACCTTAAAATTCTTGGCCTCCTCAACCAAGCCAGCTGCCATGCACGCCCACTCCACGGCCGAGAAACCAATTCCAGTCCGCACACTTCTGTCGCCGAGGAGCATAGGCGCAACCAGCTTCAGGCGAACCGGAATCGCCCGTCAAACCAACAATCCACACATCCGATGCTCCACAAATCTCCCGCATCCCCGCGAACCCTAAATCCGCTCCACACTGCCTCCAGAATCCATCTCCACACTCACTAACAACACTCCAATTCATGTGCACTACAACCTTGGACCCACACATCCGCTCAAAATCCAGACAGCATCAGCACTTGCAGCAATCATTCACAGCGCCCTTAAGAAGTCGAACCTCGTCGGAGACGAATTTCCGAGCATTGATAGCATCGTGTGTCCGAGTGCGTGCGGGTTCACCTGGACCGCAGAAGCTGGAAAGATGTACAAGAATACGGCGGGAGAGTGGCGATGCCGGAACTGGGCGTCGCAAATAGTCAAAGCCTGAGGGGGAGGAGGCAAAGAACTTAAATATTTCGTAGGCTGGCGGACCCTGGTGCCGGTGTCCGGCGCTGCGCTGCATGTGCAAGCAGACGAAAGCACTCTGTAATCCTGCCCTTTGCAGCGAATCCTTTTTGGTCAGGGTGGAGTTTTGGGGAGGGCGGGCGGGCCTTGCCACTCACGGCGCGTCGAATTCCTAGAAACCCGTGCGGGGCGTCCCTGGTCCCGCTCCGCGGCAAGCCGCCTTACGAGGCTTGCTGGTGAGGGCAAGCCGCGCGGTATGCGGCTTGCTCATGCGGGCAGGCCACCAAGTTACCCAACTGTTCGGGTTCGTTCATGTCGGTGCAGTCGTCTGAGTAGGTTTGTTCGCATCCTCATGTCAACGCCTCCTTCTTTTTCCTCAACCCGTTCAATATTTTTATGGGCACTTCATCCTCTACGCCAATGGTCGTTGTTCATGCCAAATTTTGGGCTAACAATTTGATGCAGTCGCTTCGATTACTGGCACTTCAAGTTTCGCTACTTGTGGACGTTGCAAAATTGGTTTCTTATTTTGTGATTTAGTGTGTTGGGGTTCTTTTGCTATGTAAAATTTTGAGAAACTTCTCAATTTATTAACCAGAGCATGACTACTTGTTCATTTGGCCATTAAGTAATTTAGTCATGTTAATATTTTTTGTTTGGTGTTTTATTAATGTATTCTAATTGTATTGTAGTAATTGAGATTTGCTTTTATAAACCACTCATAGTGGCTTCTTCTTCTTTTTATAATATTCAAAAACACATTTGATCTTATTTCAACTTTATAAAATTTAATTTGATGTTTTAAAGTTAAAAATCTATCAAATACATATAGGAATATATTTATATACTAGAAATTGAAATTGAAATCAAAGTCGAATTTGCTATATCTTTCAAAATAAGAACTTGTAGAATAAGTTATTTATGCCATAATAATCTTAAAAATTAAAAATAGAGAGGTGGATAAAGTTAAAATTAAAAATTAAGGATGTATTAAAACCAAAGATATCCATATAACATCGTATCTTAAATCTTAAATCTCTACTTAAGCTATTTATATCTTATAAAAGAAAAAACACAAAAAATATTTAGACCTTATAGTAGAAATTGTAGGATTAAAAAATAAAAAATAGAATATATCATCTTGAAACCAAAAAAATAAAATAATACAAAATAAAATTAAAATATCTTGGTAAACCTTTTTGATTAAAAGACTAAATTCCTAAACCATTAAATTTTAAATCCAAAATGATTGAATCTTAAATCTTAAAGTCAATAAATAATCAACAAACAAAAAATACCAAATTTATTACAAACATGTAACAAGAAGATTTTAAGAATATTATTAGAATATTCTATTAGATTCTATAAGATTTCAATAGATCCAAAAAAAGATTTTTAGAATATTCTAATATATTCTAAAAAATTCTATGAAAATTAAAGAAGTTGTCTAAGAAGCTTTCTAAGATTGTTTTATCTTTAAGTAATATGTGAACTTTTTGAAAAGCTTCTTAAGATTGCTTCATCTTTAAGCAACATGAAAACTTCTTAAAAAGCTTCCTAATACCTAGTATATATTGGAGTCGAGGTTGAAGAGATCTTCAATCTAGACAATACATCTCTTGGAGCTCTAGCTCACCTCTCTTAGTGCTGATCTTATATTCATCTAGTTTAATCAAGTTCTTGTTAGCTTTCTTCTTGAAACTCTTCCATTCAACTTCTTATTTGGTCTATTGTATAATATATCTATGACAATTTTTTGAGACTATCCTCTTATCAATATTAGAACTTAATCTTTCTTAATAGAGATTAGATTATCTTTCTGCTTGAAGGCATCTAAGTACTTTAGAAGTTGTGAAGCACCCTCTTCTAAACTATTTAGAAATTTCCTTTTTTTCTTTTAGGATAGGTGGAAGTGAAGATGTTAATACAATTGAGTCTCTTGAGTCTAAGTTAGATACTATTAAGAACACACTAAATACTTTAGCTCATAAAACTCCTAAAATTGAAGAATTTTTTGCAAGATTTCATGGTGATGCAAGACTTGGAGTAGGTCAGCCTATGTTGCAATTACTTTCTCAAGCTTTTACATCAAAGGGAGCAGTGGCACTTGTACCTCAATGAAAAAATTTACCTATTCAATAATATAAATAGCCTTAGATTAATCTTCTAAAAAAGTTTGATGGCATAGGCTTGAAGTTCGAAGGATTTGTTAACCAAATTCAATTGGTTACTTTTCTACAACTTGAGCACTATTCAACAAAGAAATTGCAAGTTAGTTTAGTTGGAACCTTGCTCATAGGACAAGCCTTATCTTGATTTTCTCTTTTATTTGAAAAGAAATCTCTATTCTTGAGTAACTTTGAAGTTTTTTTTAGAAGAATTTGCAAAGACATTTGAAAAATATAACAAGGTTCAATGGATAATAACAAAGATTTGCTTATTACATCAAAGATCACATTCTACATTAGTTTATGCATTTGATTTTAAATAATTGGCTTGTGATATCAATTGGAATGAATAGGCTCTTATGAGCCAATTCTATTGGAGACTAAAAGATAATATGAAAAACCTATTATTATCATTACTTAATCATCAAACACTCAATGAAGCTATCAATCAAGCTGTGAAGTACAATAATCAATTATTTCAATGCCGCCAAGATCAACCCTTGTAGACTTTGACAAAGCAATGCATTAAAAAAATTACTCTTTTGCTTCAATAAATATATTACTTCTACTTTCTAGAATTGAAAATATGCAAATTAATACAATATAATCCAAACCATCTTTGTTATGTTTCTTTGAAATTAATTTATGACTTCTTTGTATTTCTTTTGTAATTTATTTTAAATTTATTTTAAATTATTTTAAATTATTTTAAATTTGAATAGGATTATTAAAGATTATTTAAATTTTATTTAAGATTCTATTAGACTTGATAGGATTATTATTGTATTTCTACTAACCTTCTATAATTAGATATTTGATGCATTCTTAAGAAAGTAAATATACAATATGACAATAAGATGTAGGATTATATGCCAAATTGATGAAATGTATATTCAATCAACCAAAAGTGGAATTTTTTGGATATATTCTATCTAATGAAGGCCTATTGATAGACCCAAAGAAAGTTTAAGTTATAACAAAGTATGCAATTCTAAAGATAGTATAGGATGTATAATATTTTATTAGATTTTTAAAATTTCTATTGGATATTTATTAAGAATTATTTCCAAGTTTTTGCTCCTCTTATTCAATTGACATTCATAGATAAATTGAAATGAAGACTTCAAGTACAAAGGGCTTTTTAAAATTTAAAGGCAACTTTTACTACAGTTTCAATCTTATTACATCCATATTTCACAAAGGCCTTCTATTTGGAAATTGATGCTTCAAATTTTGCATTAAGAGCTACACTATTACATATAAAAAATGATAGAAAGTTCCATCTAATTGTGTTCTATTCTAAAAAACTTTCAATTACAAAATTCAATTATAAAATTTACAATGAAAAACTTCTTGTGATTGTAGACTCTTTTCAAGAATGGCATCACTTGTTGGAAGGTGCTATACATCCTATGATTGTATATATAGATTACTAAAATTTAAAATATTTCATGTCAAATTGGATTTTAAATTACTACCAAGCTCGTAGGAATGTCATTATTTTATTTTGATTTTGTAATTATATATCAAAGAAGAAAGCAACAAGGACTATCATATGTTTTATCAAGGAGATCATATCTTGTTCCAAAGGCCATAGAAGTAGCATTTGATCAATAATATACTACTCTCATGAAGCCAATTTTTTTTTGTCTTTATGATGTTTCTATGGTTATACCTATTGATTCAAGTTTTTTTGAAGAAATTTGTGTGACATCAGCTAAAGACTTAATAATTTGTAATATCAAACAAAAAATTAAAGTTCTTCATAGATCTTTTCTATTTTAAATATCATTTATATATTCCAAAAAAATTGATGTAACTTTATATTCTTTAATCTCGTCATGATTTCTTAGTTGCAGGACATTTTGGATTTAACAAAATATTAGAGCTTATTTTTTGAGATTTTTAATGGCCTCAAATGTGGAAGACCTTGAAGGACTTTATCCTCTCATGTAACATGTGTTTAAGTTCTAAGAATTCTCAATATTATTTTTATAGACTTTTATAGCCTCTACCAATTTTGAAGTGACTAAGGTCTTCAGTATCAATGGATTTCATTATTAATCTGCCACCAACAACTATATTTGATATTATCTATGTTGTTGTGAATAAATTTAAAAATATGGTACATGTTAGATACATTAAAAGATAAAAATCCAATAGTTGAAGATCTTACAGAATATTTGTCATAATTCTAAAAAACTTTGAAGCTTTATTTACATGTAGCTTAAGATTCTTACAAAACATCTTCAAATGAATTTAGGAAAGAATCTCTTTCTTTTTAAGTTGAAGATAAAGTATGGTTTCTTTGATGAAATATTAAAATTAATTAGCCTTTTAATAAGTTGGACTACTAAAGATTGGAGCCATTTTGTATTCAAAAGCAAATCAATTTAATAGCTTATTGGTTGGAACTACTCACATCTATAAAGATACATCTAGTCTTTCATTTTTCTCTCTTAGAGGCTTATTCAAAATCAATTATTCTGGAAAGAATATGATCATTACTACCTTATATTAAAATAGATAATCATGTAAAATATGAGATGGAAAAGATCCTTGATTCTCAACAAAAAGAAGCAAATTAGAATATTTTGTTCATTGGCATGACAACAATATCAATGTGCTACAAAAAGTATAAGAGTTTCATCAAAAATATCCTCAAAAATCTAAACCTATTTCAAGATGACTTTTTTATGAAGCTAATTTTAGGATGTTATATATAACAAATAAAGAAAATATAAAATTAATATTCTTTATTGAACTTGGAATTAAAAGATAATGTGATGTTATAAACATCCAATAAGAAGATTTTAGGAATGATTTTAAAATATTCTATTAAATTTTAGAATATTCCAAAAGATTTTGAAAAAAAATTTAGAAGATTTTTAGAATATTTTTAAAAAATTAGTGAAGTTGTTTGAGAAGCTTTTTATGGTTGCTTCATCTTCAAGTAA